GTCCTCCCCTAGCGAGGAGTGCGGACCCAGGACCTCCGCCTCATTGTCCGCCTCGGCAGAGGGCAAACGCCCAACATCGTCCTTCCCGTCTCCTGCCTGCTGAGCTTCCACATGGGGTACATGGTGCTGTCGCGGTCGTCGAAAGGGATTGCCAAAGTTTACGGCGAGTTTGCGCTGCTTCCAGGCCTCGGGGGTGTCATCGTCTGGGTCGTACTCGTCCAGCGGGTCTCTGAACACCTCCATCTGCAGCAACCTCTCACTGTAGGCGCCCATCTCGTTAATGGGAATCTCTGGCATCTGCAACGCGCCGACTTCTTGCAAGAGCATCCATTCCTCCGGCCGCCGCCGGCCGTTTTTGGGCTGCCCGCAGGCTCCCTGCCAACTCTGAAAGCCCCTCACGTAAAGCCCCGATATGACGTGGTCCCCTTCCCCGAACAGGCCCTGACGTAGCCCCTCCCACATGGAAAGCAGGCTCTTACTCGGATCAAAGAGCCTTTCGTCTTGGCTTTTTGCCCCTTCTTCGCTCGTCTCTCTCCCCTCTTCCCCATTCCCCTTACCCCCCGCGAGGTAGCTGCCCCCCCCCTCCAGTCCGTCCCTTCCGGACGCCCCGGTGCCCATGTCCCCGGAAAATTCCAATCCTCGATTATGTGGATGCTCTCTTCGACTCATCTCATACCTCTGATTCTCCGCCCGCGCCTGCTCTCGGATACGCTGCAACCGCTTTATCACAAGCTGGCTGAGCCCTCCCGTCTTCTGCTCGGGAACCTGGGTGTGCAGCCCCACCTTTTTGAGACACCTGCGAAGGGCCGAAAAGTAGTACGGCGGAGTCTGAGCCAGGAAGCTGTTGAACTCTGGGCGCCATTTGACCGGGAGGGAGGTCAAATGCCCGGAGGCGGACCCTCCCTCCACAGCCACTTGTACGAGCTCCACCAGTTTGGGGTAGTCGTAGGGGAGCAAGACTAAGGTCACCCTCCCCGCCACATCGGAGGCCTCCAAGAACCCGAACGGACAGCCCCGGCTGCCCTTCATCCGCCCGCTGCCCATCAAATACACCGGCCACCGCATCCCACGGGTCATCCGCAGCCCCCCGCCGGAGGGGGCAGCACCCGCCCCCCCCCCGCACCATTCCAGAGGGTACCTATCCATAGTCAGGCCCTGTGCCTCTAGCCGGGTGAGCGAGGCTAGCGCCGCATCCGTTGAGTCAGTCGCAAGCCGGCTGTAGAGCAGGATAGGGTGAGCGTCGCGTTTGGGGAGATGTTCGAGCGTCCGGTCCACCCAAAAAGCCTCCGGAATAGGCCAGCTGAACCCAGCTGACTCATGATTCAGGCATAGAATAGCCCGTACGGCAGCAGCACAGGAGATGGGGTCGGCACCATGGGCGGGTGAGGTCAAATGGGGGGAATGGAAGGCCTCGCCGCAGGTTTCTGGCGGATAGAGGGCCACTTGCGACTGACCCTGTCGTCCCGCCTCCTGCTCCTGTGCTCGAGACTGCGCCTGAGCGCTTTTAGTGGCGTGTCCGCACGTCTCGGCGCCCAGATCGGGAGCCAGCACGACCATGGGTCCGACGAAGGCGAGTTTGTGCATGACGAGGTCCGTGTTCAGTGTTAGCCCCATTAGACTCTCGCTCACGCTGCAGTAGCCACCCGTCGCGTCCGCCAGTGCCTTGAAGACAGCGAAGTAGGGAATTTGTGTGGAGACAGGAGAAGGCGTTGTACTGGAGCCCTCTTCCCTCTTTTTGGAATCGTCGAGACTGCTGCTGTCTGCGAGTGGACGGGACGGAGAGTGGTGGATGATGAAGGGGAAGAAGCGCTGATCCCACCGATAAGGATCTCGAGTCAAATCATGTGCCGAGCACGTGAGCTGCAACGTCATGCTTGGAGCGGGCGCCTCTGCATCGCCTCCAAAAGGTGATACCGGTCCTATCGCTTTTTGGACAGAAGAGGAGGTCGGACGCGAGCTGTTTCCGCCGGTAAACAGCAGACAGCATCCGGGTTCAACAAGCCAGGGGCAACGACCCTGCCCATAATTATCTATACCATGCTGCAGACGGTACTGATTCAGCAAGGCGAAGGCCATAGATAGCGCATGACCTACATTAGTACCTCCCTTCGAGCCGTCTGCAGGCAAAGGAGCAAGAAGGCGCAGGTTGTCGTCGAAACGCTGTAAAGAATCACCCCATGAGATCTTTACGCATCCAGGCCCTTCTTCGGTCGTAACCAAAAAGTACTGATCTTTCATATTGGTTTTTTGCCGTGCTTTGATGAAGTACTCGACTGCGGCCTTGGCCCACTCAAACGAGCTTAGTCCTGCCCCGCGCAGGTTCGTTGTTGCATGAGGCCCACTGGGGGGGCTTCGTTGCCCCATGCTGGCATTTACATCCAAAATGAAACAAACGAGCATCCTAGGGCCGGTATGAGCGTGAAATTACGTTTTAAGGCAGTCTGCTGGGAGGTATAATGCAGTTCAACGGCCGCAGGTGGGTCGATGGCGATGTAGGCCGTAAAGAGAACGAAGCCGGAGTCATCTCGTCATCAGAAAAGACTACTCTTTGCCTTGTTTAAGAGTTAGACTGCTGCTTGACATACAGTGTAAATTGAAAAAGAAGAGATGAGATGGTATACGGCATGCTCAGGCATTCAGGCCGCGGCGTCTTGAAGCCAACCTCCCCGTCAATGGGTTGCTCTTCTTCGTAGAGTTCCTGTTCCTTGTCCTGGAAGCGATGAAGCGATGAAGCAAAACGCACGCAAAAATGATGATCGAGTCCTATATTTTTGAAACTCAGTTTCTCGGCCATTCCGTTTGCGTGCTTGACATCTTATCCCTGCCGTCGGTTTCCGCTGTATAGAGTGTCGAAGTCCTCGGCGCACTCAGACATCCATTAGTGAGAAGACTCTGTCAAACGTTTTGCCTTCAGAGACATATGCACATTCGTCGGCCCACAACAAGATAACTCTGTCGCATACAATTTCAGACTGTCCAATCCACCCTTGAAGATCTACTGGGCTTTTCCTCAGCCCCCCGATTCGATCAAATTTTCCTCGTTTCTCCCCTATCTTAACATCTCAGGCTTTTTGGTCGAAACAAAAGCGTCACATCACCTCAAATTTATACTCCTCTCCTTAGGGTTGTTCCAGATTCCGACTTTCCGCCTGGCACAACTAATTTCACACCTCCTTTTTATCCAATTCTCTCTGAATCCGCGCTCTTCGTACTACTTAAACACCCCTGTGCAAATACCCCGAAGACAAATGCACGGTTTTCGATCTTCAACATGGTATGTTGACAATGATTACCCTCTGAAAGCTAGCAAGTTGTGTTGATGATACTGGAAGACTGACTGACGTCCAACTTCTCTCTGTCCGCTTCCCTGTCCACCACTATGGATATGCTGGATCTGGCTACAAATATGCTGGAGTGGGTGACATAATGTCACTCTTTCCTTGTCCGACTCCAACCCCTTGGTCTCTTAAGACACCCTGCCCTTTTCTCCCTCGATCTCCCACGTCAAACTGCCTGCATGCTCGGCGGCTCCGGTTTCGTCTCCCCCTTCCTCCCCGACCCCGCCTCAAGCACGTCGCAGCTCTCAGCTCCAGCTTGGATGGGGATGCTCGGCATGGGAGGTTGCTGGCGCAAAGGAGACCGACAGCGCGATTCATCGTCCGCGGTGGGAGCCGAAAGTACGCCCATGGGCGCTATGGCTCGCATCATGCTGCTCCCCTCCACCTTGTACTCAGTCCCTACGTCGGTGGGAGCCCCGTTCTGGGTAGTGCCGGCCGACGTCGGGGGGAAGGACAGGGGGTAGGGAGGGACGGACCGCAAGCCAGACTGGTGGCTGGGGGCAGCGAGGTGGGGCCGTGACGTGGCCCAGTGCTCGCCCACTTGGGAGGGCGGGACCTCGGACCATCTCGGTGACACTTGCTTCGGCGCCTTGTATGCCCTCTCGTCCTCCTCCTCCTCCTCCTCCACCTCATCATCATCTTCGTCTTCATCCCCTAGTCCCTCCTGTTCACTCCCTTGACTCCCTCCTTCTTGTCCCACTCTCGCACCCTCCGGACGTGGCGCACGACCGTTGCCACTGTGATGGCTATTTCCCTCAGGCGTCTTGCCCGTTGTCATGCTTATAGACCCCGTGGCCTGCGAGGAGGCCGAGGAAAACGTGGTGGATGAGGAGGCGACCGAGCTTCCTTCTCCACTCGCTCCTCCTTGAGGCACGGGAGCCGCCGGATAAAGGGCTTGCCCGTTGGACGGAAATTGCGCGAAGGACTGAGCAAGCTGCGGGTGGGGTGGCAGATGGTGTGAAGGCTGAGGGGGATGACTTCTTCCTGGTTGATTTCCAGCGACAGGCGCATGATCCCCGTAGATCAAATCCAGCATCTGCCTCAGTTCCTCGTTCTCTTTCAGCAGGCGAGTCATGACCTTCTCCGACTCCTCCATGAACCGCTTTCTCCGGTCCCGTGTCCGCTTGGCATGAATGCGATTCCTCTCTCGACGGATACGCTCTCGGTCCTCGGGCGCGTACTTGCAGCGGCCGCGCGCCCCGCCTGCCTTCCCCTCATCAGCCTCGTCCGCGTCCCCGAGACTGCTCGAGTCGTCCATCAGCCCGCTCTCTGACGCCGCCCGGCTCTGCGCCTCCTCGTAGGCCTTGTTGTTCGCAGCCACGGCCGCATTCGTCCGCTCCAGGAAGGACTGCACCGTCATGTACTTGGAGAGAAGCCCGTCGTTGGCTCCCATGGTAGAGCCTGCGGGCGCTGAGCCGGGTGGTTGGCCCTTACACTGAGGACCGCTATTGGGGGCATGGTTGGGAGCTTCCGACTTCAGCGCTTCCTCTTTCTCCGCCTCCGGCCCCCTCATCACGAGTAAAATGTTCGCCGTGTACCACTCCGTGACGGCCAGGCGCATACGCCGACCCTCCTCCTGCAAATTCTCAATCGTGACCTGGATGCTCTCCATCTGCACCTTCTTGCGCTTGCGAGTCTTGCGGGCGTGAACACGATTGCGCTCTCGACTGTGTGTTTTGAGCGTGAGATGTGAGATCATGATCAAAGATTTCGCAAGACGCCCGACTTAGAGCTGAAATTGAACGGACACGCAGCATATAACATATGTGCACGAACGTGGCTTTTTGACCTGTTTGCAACTGCACACATAAAAACCATATTATCTCGGTTACGGACGTTGCACACAGAAATTAACTTTACTTGTACTGACCTTCGTTGTAAGCGCTCCTCGGACGTTAGACGCATGCGCTTACGCTGCTGCTGCGACGAGGTGGTCGAGGACGAGGAAGAGGTGGAAGAAGACCCCATCGTTGTTGTGGTGAGACCACTTTCATCGCTGCCAGTCCGGATCATCTGATACGATTGTCCATAACCATCTGAAGATCCGTTTTTGGTCCCAATGCTGTGACCACCGCCAGCGCAAACCGAAGTCATTCCTACGCTTGTCACACCCGGGTCCTGACGAGGAATGGGAGGCATGTGGTGCTGGTAGTGGCCAGGAGGGCCGGGAGGAGGGGGTGGAAGCGGTGCATAGCTCGGTGGCATGCCAATTGGCATGTGCGGGTACCCGGGGGGCATTGGGTACGCCATAGTCTGTGCTGGAGTGCAGGCAGACCCGGTCGAAAGAAGGGGGTATGTGGTGGGTTTGGGCGCGTGTACTGCTGCTGTTGCTGCTGAGCTGACTTTCGGTGAAACTGGGCGTGAAAGTGAACACACCGATTCGATAACGACCTAGTATGCAAAAGATAATAGAGGATGAGTGTTGCATAGTAAGTACAGCCAAAGTTAGGAGTCCGCGGAGTCAGAACATTCTAAGCTAGTTGTTGAAAGAGCAGCTTGACCTTCTCCGCCTTCTGCTTCCTGACGACGGGGGAACAAAATGCTGACTACAAGCCCTCTGAGCGCCAGCCAAGCCCAGTCCGCCAACAACGTCTGCTCATGAGAAGGAATCAGGTCGTACGCAAACACTCGACAGGCCAGCATCAGGCACCAACCTTCGCAAGGGGCATCTTGGGAAGGGGGCCGGGTGCGGCGGTTTGTGCTTGCGTCCAGTCAGGCGCCAGACGCGCTCTGATTCGTCGAGAGGCAGGCGGGGCCCTTACGTAATCGTCTCTCTAGGGGTTGACGCAACCACATACGGTCGCGCAGGAGGCTGCGTCCAATCCACAGAGGATCAATGTAGCATGAATGTCCATTCAGGGTATTGTCACACGTGCTGTCCAGGGCCCTGGTAGACGGGGTGATGTTGATGTGCTAGCACGCTGACGACCGGGGAGCAGATGCCCCTGCACCGAGGTTGACGCCCGATCATCGAGCCCGTCGCCGTGGCCGGCGTTGACATGGTTCCAGGATCGAAAGAGGGCGGTGCACGCGGGCCATCGTTCCACCGCCGCGTGGTCTTCGCACTCATAGAAGGGCGATGAGCTACACGTAAATGTGTGAGAAGGTGACGGGTAAATGTTTATTGAGAATTACACTCCCGGTCAACTGCTTTTTGTACCAAAACGACCGGCGGGGTTGTAAATAGGAATTACGGTGCATGTATACATGTCCTCAAATTCGTGACAACCTTTGCCATGCACGTCGAGTTTAAGAGATTTCGAACAGCTTATAAAGTACTTTAAATATAACATACATGCTATTGACCTTTCTTGTGCTTTTGACTCCCTCGAGCTGTTGACTACTTGTGAGTATCTAGATCTCGTGATCGTATTTTCAGCCGAAGAACGAACAATTCAGCATAGAAAAGATGTACATTGACAAAAAATGCAAAGGCAAACAAAAAGCAGGAAGTCATGAGCGACCACACTGAATTCGAGGGTTGTGAATGCTCTAAACCTCTGATACCTAAAGCAACAAAGCTTACCCATGGAAGAATCAGGAACCTAAGTTTGTCGCGTCCTTCCTGCAATAAAAAAAGCGACATACTCCTTGCAATGTAAGAGTTGTTTTCAATACAGTAGTTAAACGTGATTTGATCGCTCAACCGCCTTGCACCATGGAAAAGTACCTCGTGGGAACGGCAAACGCTTGAATGAACTCAAGGACCATCATCCTGCTCGGCTTCTCGTTGTATTGTATTTTCCCCCACCAAATATCTACCGGTGATAAAGCCCTGG